CCAACCCTGCCCCCACCCTCACTGTGTCACCCTCCCAGGCAGATAGCAGACGTAGGAGCGGTGCCCTGCTCTCAGCGCGCCCTGGCGAAGACTACAAGGCGCTTCTAAACGGAAACAGACGTGACGCGCAGAGGGCCCAGCGGTTGCTTCGTCTGCAGTGCAACGACTCGACCAAGGAACAAAGATCGCCATCCGCCTGACCCTCGGTCGTTTTCCTTTCGTATTTCATCCGCGTGAATTACCGCGTTTCAAAAAGAAAAAAAATCAAAGGAAAGCTTTATAGTTCAGGAAATGGTACTTGGTTGTGTCGTGTTGGGTGGGTGTCCATGGGAATTAGTGTCATCGGGGCGGGTACTTGAGTGTAACAGACAAGTCAGGTCCTACTAAAACTGTTAATTCCGACGTCTATAACTGATCCGCGAGTGCATTAAAGGATATACAATCATTGAAACCAAACTACTCTTGGTAAGTTAAAAGGACATTACAAATACTTCCCTGAAAAAATAACCATTGTCGCGCTTTGATCTGCGTACCTCCGAACAAGTAAAAGGAGCCGACTGAAATCATGCTCACTCGTAAACACATGTGATTCCTTAGTTACGAGCTCTCTGGACGATAATACGGACGTGTCCTGAGTTCTGCGAGTGAGAATGACAGGGTTCCCGAGTACAAAGCGCGGCGTGGCAGTGCAGGCGAGCGATGAGAGGAAGCGGGTAGGGTGAGCCCGCCTGTTGCATCAGTGCAAAAACAACAGAACCTGTAAGTGTAATAGTCTCGAAAGAAGATGGTTGCGTAAAAAGTGCCGTTAAAAACAAAAGGACTGAGGGAGAGGAATTAACGGTCATTAGGTTACAGATCAAGGCGTAAGAAGAAACAATCAAATGTAACCTCGTGAAAGCAAAACAGGAAGGTGTCAACACCATCGACGCTATACGAAAGAGCGCTGTCATCTTTTTGTGTTGGTAAGTATGTCTTCAGACTTTATCCAAATCTGAGCCGTGTTTTAGCGTGTACTAGGGAAAGGAATTATTGTACATCCAACGCAGTTGTAGCAAGACACCGAACTGGAGTGAAATCGTACACCAACCGTAAATGTTATCGTACTGCATTTATGCTCTATTTAACAGCGTGTATTTTCGTTAGTGTTAATATCACTACAGAAAACGTCGATTGAATTATATGCATGAGCGTCAAAATATGTAAGGAATGGATTTTGATAAATGTTATAGGCTTGTTGTACGCGCGTTCTTGTATGATTTCAGTAACAAGTATATTTTATTCGAGAGTCAATTTTCCTTTGACGGAGGGAGACAAGGAATTTAAACTTCACATGTACAGTGTTGCATCAAACGGTCGTTTAGAATAGTAGAGCACAAAGTCAGAGCATGGGGAAGGCCTTGGGGGAAGGATGTCGCCATGGTGATTGCATGAAAACAAAACAATGTCGTTTTTTTTTTACTTCTTTTGATTGGAGGTTTTAGATGATGATGATGATGATGATTATTATTATTATTAACACCATTACCGATATTACCATGATAATTTTCACCATCACCGCAATCATCCCACCACCATCATCATAATCATCACCATCTTTATCATTATCACTTGATCATCATCGATCACCACCATCACCACCATCATAATGCATTTAGTCAATATTTGCCTTCACTGTTAAACAAAAGCACGATGTAAGAGACCAAAAGATGTATCATCTCACATATTATGCAAGGTTATGGTGTATAAAAAACAATAATAAGAAAAAATATCACATCTAATGAAGATGAGAACAGAAATGATGACAAAGACGTAGGCTAAAAATCTTTCTTTTCTATCTCTTCCTAATATCACCTCCACATAAAAAAAGAAAAATGTGTGCATGGCCTTCGACGCTTAGAAATTTATATGGAACTAGAAATGGAAAACTAGAGTAACTGGGGGACATGGATTAAAATCTCTGTAACCTTGGTTTTATCACAAGATCTAGTTTTACTCACATTTCTTTTGACTCTGGATTCAATGCAGTGTGTGTATGTGTGCGTGTGCGTGTGCGCGCCATGTGTATACGAGATATCTCAACCCTGCACACTTCCTCTCTGATATTAGGTCTCATTCGTTGCATTAAGCTTTTCTCATTTCTCAAAAACCGGGACCACGGATATATTCTTGTAATAAATGTGATGCCAACAAATCACTTACAGTGAAATAATTCAGTCCAACGTTTTTTTATTATTGTTGATGATAATTGGATTTGCCATACTTACAAAAGCACACTCATTTATTTCATCAACTTAATGCGGCAAAATTATATAGGCAATTTAATACCGCCCCGCCCAGCAACCTGACGCACCCAAGGGAAACCGAGCTTAAACGTCCAACGGTGTTTTTAAAGGGGGGTCATTATTATACATACAGTACTGCCCCTCCTATAATGGACTATGTCCTTTTGATATAATTAATAGGTAATTGATATAGCTCATTATCATATGCACAGGCTTCCTCCTATAATAGATTATGTGCTTTTGATATCGTTGATATGTAACTTTTTATTGTGAGGAATATGTAGGCCTATTTTTTATTTCAATAATAATCAGCTAATAGAACAACATAATGAAATGTTTTTTTTATCAGTTTTTATGATATGATATTTTAGAATGATATTTAAATTAGTCAGGCAAAGATTGATAGTTTCCATGTCAAAATATAATTGTATGCCGAAAAGAATCGGGTAATTTCTACTTTTTGATACGTCTCCTGAAACATTTCCGAGTTAAGGATATATTGTTTTTGTTTAAACTTTTTTCGCATGAATGTCATCCTTTTTATCAGCATAATTCTTTTGTCTGGAATGTATTGGTCTTCGTTATCACTATAATTTATATAATTGCCGTTTTTCCTTTTATGAACAATGTAGCGATTTTTATCATCGTTACCATCGTTATAATCATTATCAATCTCATTGTTATCATCGTTATTGTTATTATTATTATCATCATCATGTTATTATTATTTCAACATTATTATTTATTGCTATTATTTATTGCTGTCATCGTTTTTATTGCTTCTGTTATTATCAAGGAATATCTTAAGGAATAGATTAGAATTGATTTGATGAAAAAGAACAGAGATTCAGGATAAGTAAATCCCGGAAGTTGAGATACGATAAAAATAAGATTTATATCGTAGCCTCTCCCCTGCCTTTCCCCTCGTCTTTCCCCTCGTCTCTCTAACTACTGATTGACGAAACGAACCGAAATTAACGGTGACTGAAAAGACTACCACACGTCATCACATACACCCCCCCCCACACACACACACACTCACTCACTCACTCACTCAGTCACTCACCACGCACGCACGCACGCACGCACGCACGCACGCACCACTCACTCACTCACTCACTCACTCACCCACCCACTCACTCACTCACTCACTCACTCACTCACTCTCTCACTCTCTCACTCACTCACTCACTCACTCACTCACTCACTCACTCACTCACTCACTCACTCACTCACCTCACCCACCCACCACCACCCACCCACACATCACACACATAGGAAAAGAATTACTAACGTTACAACGAGAAAAAAAACATGAAGTTTTAAAAAATGATTGTTCACTTAATGGCAAATGTAAAGACTACTATACCGTACCATGTGATGTATAGCAATATCATTTCATCTACCCAGATCATAAAAAAAATCGATGCCACCAGACATAATTGGATTGCGAATCTTCGAAAAAATGCAGTTTCTAAAAAAAGTCATGTTGAAAATAAACTATGTAGCACTATTTAACCTCCCCTTTTGGGTTATTTATCACCACCATCCCTCAAAATGGCGGTCCACGTCTGTCTCGTTCATTTCGTTCGAACTCTTCAATTTTCCTTGACATAAATAGGCATTATCTCTTGATCATTCTCTTGGGAAAAGCCGTTTTTTTCACAGACACTATTATTATTTTGTCGATATGAGATACCTAAGGTTACGACAGAGAAGATTCTAGCACAGTTTGTGGGGGAAAAATGTCGGCGTCTAAATGTTTACAGGTCCTGTAAATTGTTTACTCGAGAAAAGAAAATCGTGATGTAACATACCAACGCTGTCAAAAAAGGCACTTCTTTCACTGCGTTTTTTTTTTTTTTTTTTTTTTTTTGTGCTTATTTCTGAAGGAACCTCCACACAGATATGTACATATGTAAGACAGACAAAGTGGGGGTAAGAATAAACGATAGAAATAAAAGATTAACCATGCATTAAAACGTATAGATATAAAGCTTGTTTACACATAGGATTATCACGAAAACTGTTATTGAGGATTTAAGTATAGAAATCGCATAGAATTGAATTTATTTGTCGATGCATTACATTGAGCCTTAGGTAAAGATGGTGGCTGGGTGGTACTGCACAGCACACGGGTATTACTAGACACCGTAGCAGGCTTCAAGGAAAAAGTGAATATATAAGAGAACGCTTTGTGTGTTTCCAGTGTGTATATATCCACCTTTCAATAAGAATCAATAAAGCTTCCTTTCAGTCACGTCCACAGTGCCATGCAATCCTCCGATGATAAGAAGCTAAAAAAAAAAAAATCTGAAGATAAATTAACAAGAGTTCAAGAGACACTGTCACAAGAGATTTTGGGAAGAAAATGTGAAAGTGAAAGAAAGATGCGAAAATATTGGTTAATGTGTTTAATTTTTACGTATGTATAACATGCTATATGTGTATTTATATATATATATATGCATATATATATTATATATATATATATATATATAATTATAATATATATATATATATTTATTATGTATAATTATGTATATTGTATACGGCGTTTATTTAGCGCTTCAGCCAATAACAGTGATAAAAGGCAGAATGAAAATGGATATGTGTGCTAGCGTAGGCGAGCAAAGAGACATCCGAGTATGAATGTGGCTGACAAAGAGGACAAAGAGGAACCTAGTCTTAATTAATAAGTGTGTGGAAAATATTAGGCAAGGAAAGTTCTGAATAAGTTATTTTGTTAGCTTCCTGCGTCACGTGAATGAAAACACCAGCACACACACACACACAAACCACACACACACACAGACACACACACAAAACACCACACAACACACACACACACACACACACACACACCACACACAGTCCACAACACACACACACACAACACACACACAGCACACACACAGCACAATACAGCACACACACCCCAGATGCTGAAAGCTGATTTGTACCAAGCTAAATGTTGACTCCTTCAAAAATAATATTTGAAAACCCAATTACCTGTGGCAAATTAAATAAAACGAAAGCACAAAAAAGAAAGTAATGCCATAAAAGACATAAAAGCAGCTATCTAGTTCTCAACATCTATTACCATTTTCTCTCAGTCTCATTGTGCAAGGTTTGGTTATTATGCATGCACTTCCAACCCCAGTTCTTTCAACAAATATTTATGTCGGTTTAACCTTCCTAGTAAATGAACTTTGTGGGGTCTATACTAGATAGATTAATAAAGATATAAATAAAATTACTTAAAATCATATTAACTAGATTTGTTTCTCTTAGAATAGGCTTCTACTAAAAATCCTGAAATTTTGATGGCCAGAGTTGAAGCAACGAACTTAATATTAATACACACATTAAAATGTTTAATGCGAGAAACACTGGCATGCAAGTTACATAATCCAAGCGTAATAACACGTATTTTTAAAACAGAGAGGGGCATTCATTTTTGTGGACATTGGTTAAACAAAGAGCAAACTGGTACGCTGGGTACGGTATTCTTACATTGGTACCCTAAGCGCGTGTGAATATTACCCCATCTTTAATCTTGGCCTGTTGTTATAATACAGATCTGTTATATATTATACTTGTTTGTTTTTTTTACAAAATACAACATTTGATACGAGAAATCTGTAAAAAGAAAAAAAGAAACAAAAGGAAGCTTTGAGCTGTGACAAAGTGGCTGTTGAAGCTGGACATTCGATGGAAAGGAAACGCTTGCGCCATGACTAAGATCTACAGGCGGTACGAACATACAAATCACACATGCAGCTCGCTTCGCTCAGTCAGTATATAGTCATATTAAATATATATAGTATATATTATATTCATTATATATATATATTATATATATTATATATATATATATATATATATATATATATATTATATATGTTATATATATAATGTACCTTGTTATTATATAATACTTATATATATATTATATATATATATATATATATATATATATATATATATAATATATATACACGTGTGTGTGTGTGTATTATATATGTCTAGATAAATATACACTATATATATATATATATATATTATATATATAATATATATATATATATATATATATATATATATATATATATTACATATACTGTGTGTATTATGTGATATATGTACTATATACTGCCGTGTGTGTGTATTATATATGCATGTATATTTATATGCATGATATATATATATACATATATATATGTATATATATAAATATATACATATATGAAGTTGTGCATGTGAATATATGTGTGTGTGTTTGTATAATGCGGTAATGAATTGCGTAGAGACCATTATTGTAAATTCGTTCTGATTACGCCCAACCACTGAGGCGAAACCTAAGCCGAAGTGTATCCGAAGTAGGTTAGGGCGTTCGAACACCAGCTTCGACCCGTTTGCAATTACCAAATTGCACAAAATCATTTAATTTACTTTGGTCATGCTATCTTGAAACTCTCGAAATTTTAATAACCCACCATGGCAGATAGAACCTTTGTTGTTGCTGAAAAAGTAGAATACTATTAAGTGTAAAATGTAGTGTATGTAGCAATAACCATGAAAAATCTCTATTCTTTATTTTCTTTAATGGTCTATGAAAAGCTGATCCACAAACAAATATTTAAGTATTCATGTTTGTGTATCACAAAAATATTACTTTAAGTATAGTTTCTATAATTTGGAGAATGTTCGCAAATACCAAGCATTTTGATACCATTACCGTCATCTGTCAAACACATCTATTCACAGGACGAGAATGAAGACCCAGCCAAGCAAGCGCGTGGCTTTCTCGCCACTGCCAGACGAAGACAAGGACGCAGACGAACAAACCGTCGCGGAAAAGGACGCCGACGGCCTTGTATCGGAAAGACCACCGAGCATCTGCAAGTTCACGTGGTGGAATGAGGTAAGGTTGGAGGGGATATGGTAACCGTTTTCTATATGCGCTGGTTTCCGTGGATGTGGTATATCCCATTTTCTTTGGATGTGACATATCCCATTTTCTTTGACTGTGGCGATATAGCACACTGTTTCCCATATGCTTAGATGAGCCGCATCCCATTTTCTGTGTACGCGAGGATGCGAACGGGACCCTTCGATTTTCTGTGAATTTGACGATGTTGGAGGGTTTTTGTGTGGGAGTGACATGCGTGTTAGTAACTGACTTTGTAATTGGCGAATGTCGTGTGGTTAATTTGATAATGCATCTCTTGGAAGGGGGATGTAATACGTTGTCACGGCATTTCTTTGGCGACATTTTAATGAACAAAACACTCGATCATGTATATTATACATTCGTATGTATACATACAGGATGTGCATGTGCGCACACATTGATATATATATTACTTAAATATATACATGCACTATCACACTCACTGACTCATCCACTGGCTGGCACACACACACACACACACACACACACACACACACACACACACACACACACACACACACACACACACACACACACACACACACACACACACACACACACATACACATACATATATGCATACATGTAATACGCACACAAACGCGCGCGCGCGAACCTAGTATATTTGTTTACACATACATACACAAAATACATGTTATTGCCAATGTGAAACAATACAAGCTCCTCCGAGTATATTGCAGGACTTGCAAACAAGGACAAGTAAAATATCAGTGTTTTGTACGCATTACCTGGAAATACTCGAGCCATAATGTTGCAGCGAATCTTTATGACGCCTGCCTCATTTTTATGGACATTAAGCCGTTGACTCACCGCGCCCCACCTCCACCTGTATCGATGCAACAGCAATTGCAAAGCCATCGGTGTTTGTGCATCCACTATCCCCCACATCCTTTCTTCTTATTCATAACCTGTTTCGAAATCCAATTCACGTCGTTTGGGACAAAACTTTCATCTGACTGTATTAGAAGTCGTATTGCTCTTTGCGGAACTCTGATATTTGTTTTCTTCCCGTCAAGACCAATACTTCAAGGGATTACGCAACCTTCCCTCGCCCGATCCGGATAATCCAGCCCCCCTCATGGTTGAGCCGCCCACCTTACACGCAAGCAAACGCCCTTCCTCGGGCGGACGCAAGCCACGCACTAGCGCCCGCATTTCCGTTGTTTCCGCCCTAAAATAACATAACGGTGAGGCAGACCGCGAACTGTCGGAGCGCTGTCCCCGGCCGCGTTGCGTCATCGCCGCTCGGGCACGTCGCTTATGGAATGGCGTGCTGTTTCGAGGAGCGTTCGTGTATTTTTGGGAAGGTCTGCGTTGTCCTGGGGTCTGGGACTTGGCTGACAGCGGTCCGAGCTGACGGGACCTAGTTGGAATCAAGTGTAAATAAATGTAATGCTAACAATGTGATGAATGCGGGCATTGGATACGCGATCGCTCGCCGCGCGTTTAACCTTACAAAGTGAATGCACAATGCGACAGATGGCATTGATGAGTCTAAAGATTGGAATTTTCATTCTTGATTATTAAATCAATTATGTATTTCACTTGTCCCACAAAAACGCAGCTGCTGGCTACTCTGCATGTTTGACCACCAAACTGTGAGGTGGAGCAGCCTCAAGGTTAGGTGTTAAAATTAACCCGTTGTGCCGGGTGGCAGGGGGAGGGGAGGGTGGGCCTCCCCCTCCCGCCCCCTCGTGAGTCCTGCAGTCAGTCAGCAAGACGGGCCCAAACACGGAGGGTCCCTTGCTCTCCACCTGCCAAGGCGGTAGGAAAAGGTCCAAACGCAACACGCCGCTCTGCCCTCGACCCCTGCGAGACAACGCCCCCTGCCTGGTTCGCCGAACACGGCTCACGCTATTGTGTACGGCCGAGTCTAGTGCTGAGTCACCGTTGGCGAAGGCACACGAAACACCTGCTGGTTTTCAGCTGGTGTAGAGGACTGTCGTGAGCGGCGGACACGCACAACTTTCACTGAAGTGCGAGCTACGAGTGTTCTAGAGAGTCGCGCCGTGGAAGCCAGCCCGGATGCAGCGAGACCGGAGGTTGGTGTGGTACCGACAGATTTCCTGTAACTGATAATGGTACAGCACCCTGTTTCAAGCATGCCATTCGGAGCGGCGCGCGTGCAAAGTGACATGTTGACCTTACGGAGAACGTTGATACAAGACGAGTTTTTAAAGCACCGGCGTTTTTACTCATCCGCAACTCGTGCAGTAAGCGAGTGTGTGTGCAGTGGCGATATGAAGATTATGAATGATGAAATGAAGAATTCGTGAACTGGCTCGCTATCGAAAATCTAAAAGGTCGAGATTAACCTTATCTTATCAGATATGTAGAGGAACTACTATAAACCTATATGAAAGTGCACAAACACCTATAGTTATAAAGAACGAGTAATTTTCAGTGTTGACAAAATTAACAAAAAACAAGGCGACCCGTTACATTAGTGGAAATCCCTGTTCAGAGGCGTGAAGGACTCGCCAGTGGAGGATTTTTTTCCCAGTGACTTTACATCCCTAGTGAGGAATGTATGTGGCGGTGTTGGGTCCTCTCTAGATCCCTGCTGGTGTGAGGATGATTATTCCAATACAGTCTGGAAGTGCTCATGACAACTATGGAAAATAACTCTGTGTCTTCACTGTCGTACCTTGTCAACGTGAGGCAAGGGCGACCCAAATTCACCATCAGAAATGAGGTAAGTGCGACTCGACGGACCCGGACCTCAGGAGGAAAATAAGTGAGGAGGGGAGTCATACAAGAACTTAAGTCAAAACAAGAAACGTTGCTCAACTCAATAGATTAAATACCTTACGACGCAATCGAATACTAAATAGATACAAATACCTTGCAATGCAAACAAGTTCTAAATAAATCAAACAAACAGAAACAGCACTTAACAGAAAGGATACGGGTAATAACATTATCCAGAAACGTATAAAATATCAAATGTGTGGAGAAACTACTCAATAGCATCCAGGAGAGAGTGAGGTAGTACGAGGTTCGAAAGTTACGGCAGGTGTTGGCCCGAGCCTGAGGGCGAGGTGGTCAAACCGATACAAATCCGAGGCTTCATTAAATTCGCTGACTTTCACACTGCTCGATTCAGAGATTGGATCCTTGGATAGGAACAGTGAGATTTAGTCATTGTAGATTATAAGCGAAGATGATACGGAGTTTTTGCGTTAAAGAGAAAGTAACGTTTTGGTTAAAGTGGAAGGGAGTGGATAGAAATTTTAAAATACCGTTAGTTGCATTGACACTGCTGCATTTCCATTCGTTTTTATTACAGTTCTATATCAGTGTTATTGTAGTTAATTAGGGACTAATCATGTTCGATTTACATTATATATTGATATAGATATATTACCAAGCAGATTGAGTCGCAAATATCTTTACATATATATCCATCTACCTTCGTCTATCCAACCATATGCTTGCATATGTATATACTTGCATATAATTTTGTTTGTGTTTGCGCGTTTGTGTGTGTATGTGTGTGTGCGAGAGAGAGAGAGAGAGAGAGAGAGAGAGAGAGAGAGAGAGAGAGAGAGAGAGAGAGAGAGAGAGAAGAAAGAAAGAAGAAGAAGAAAGAAAGAAAGAAAGAAAGAAAGAAAGAAAGAAAGAAAGAAAGAAAAAGAAAAAGAAACAGAATTTACTAACAGCAGTGACCATGAACTTCGAGTGAGAGAACAGGACCCCAAATAAGGGATAAAAACAAATCGGGACGTGTCGAGGACTCGCCGATTGAGGATATATTGAATTTAATGTCTGACCCTTGCCGTGTGGTGTCAGGTCGTTGAGCAGAAAGTGTAGCCAGGGTGTCTGTCCTCGTCGTTAGGTCCTGGTGCAAGGACGTGCTGTAGGAGTGTGTGTGTTTTGCCTTCAACTCTTTTAGGCTGATTTCCTGGTAGTATTTGATGTCTGTCTGTATGTATAGGTGGATAGATTTTTATGTATGTATATGTATCTATATATGGATAGTATGTATGTATATATCTATGTGTATGTATGTATGTATGGGTGGATAGATTTATGCATGTATGTGTGTGTATCTATGTGTATGTATGTATAGGTGGATAGATTTTTTATGTATGTGTGTGTATCTATATGTATATGTATGTATGTATATATGTGTGTGTGTATGTATAGGTGGATAGATTTATATATGTATGTGTATGTATGTATGTATGTATGTGTATCTATATGTGTATGTATGTATGTGTATCTATATGTGTATATATGTATGTATGGTTGTTTATGTATGTATATATCTATGAATTTTTGGGTATGTATGTTTCTATCTGTATATTTATGCAGGTATGTATGCTTCTATGTATGTTTGTATGTATTCATGTATTTGTAAATGTCTATATATGTATTTATGTATCTATGTATGTGAAGGTATGTATTTATGTACATGTATACAAGTATCTGTCTGTCTGTCTATGTATGTATGTGTATATCTATGTATGTTTATGCATGTATGTATGTATGTATATATCTATCTATGTATGTGCATCCATTTATTATATGTATGTATCTATTTATTTATGTATGTCTATGTATGTATCTGTGTATGTGTAAGTACGTATCTATCTGTGAATGAGTATGTACGTATCTATGTATTTATCTATCTGTGTATGTTTATGTATCTATCTACTCATCTGCATATGTGTATGTATCTACCCATCAGTGTATGTGTATGCATTTACCCATCAGTGTATGTGTATGCATTATCCATCAGTGTATGTGTATGTATGTATCTATCTATTTATGTGTATGTATCTATCTGCTTATGAATGTATAAATCTTTCTTTGTCCTCTTCCGCTTCTTTCTCCGATGGTTTTGCAGACAGTGCCATCTATCGCCGGACTTTTTCTAATAATGCACTTTCCCTTTTATGTAATGCTGTTTATCGGTTTGGTGATAGATGGTGTTATTAGCTTTTATATGTTTACTTTAACGATTCATCTTTGTTCTTAATAGTTCTTATAATATGATACGATAGTTTGAATGCATTTTTATGGGATTTTCCTGTTGCCTAAAACATGTACTAATGATTCCTCTTGGTGGATAGACATTGCTATCATGATTTTCGTAGTGGCTAGAATATGTTTTAGTGATTCCTCTTGTTGATAGGATGCTTAATGATGCTCGTTGGTGGATAGAAATTCGGTCAGTTTTTTAGCGACTGTCGATAAAGTCGGTTCCTGAGAAAGCGACCTAATTTCGGAGATGA